CGATTGTGAAAACTGCAAAAAGCAATCAACATAACTTGAAATGCCGTGGGGTCGGTAATGCACAGCACAGTAAGGGCATAACACTTTTATTCCATTTCGGATGCAACATTAGAAAAAAGACAGATAACATGTCGCACTTGCATACCTATATCACGATCACCTAAACTCTCAATTTTCAAGCAAAACATCCGAAAAAATCAAACTATTGTTAAACAGCCCAGGAGCCCTACCTGTAACATGGAGAAACATCTACAAACAGCTCACACAAAAACAGAACATCGTTCCGCACGCCCAGGTAAACACAATGCTCATCTTCGGGAACACCGGAAATCAATCGGCAAAGAGGCGCGGCGCCACTCTGATTTCCCAGCGGAGTGCGGCAGATCCCATCAGCCGTCAGTTTTTACTCACCTGGCCCACACTGCGGGTCGCCTCGCCAGCAGCAGCGGTCCGCCCGGCACGGCGGCCAGTCCCAGTCGACCGCCGCTCACCGGTCCCCTCCGTCCAGATCCGTATCCGCTCGACACTCGTCCGTACGTCGTTCTCGACGCGTCGAATGGAGCCCGCCCGCCGCGCGCGATACGCCCCGCCGCGGCGCCTCCGGCCGGCCGACTGGTCCCGTCGATGACGGCGGAGGAGAGCGGCCGTCGGCGTCGACGAGCCCGGCGCACGGCGGAGTGGGGGGTGGGGGGTGGGGGGACAGATAGGTTTATTACCGTACGCTTATCTGGGGCCGACCGATGTAATCCGTCATGGTCCGGCCGGCAGACGGTATCGTCCCGGTGTCTAATCCTGCAGCTCTGCCGCGGCCGCCCGGCGCGGACTGCGGACCGTCGCGGCCGACGGACCACGGAGACCAGCCACGGACCATCGGTCGACGGACCAGTGACCACGGAGACCAGACGGACCTCGGGGACCACACACTTTACAGACAGACCACGGACCGTCGGCCGATGCGGATGGACCACGGATACCAGCCACGGACAGCCGACGGACCAATGACCACGGAGACCGGACGGACCGCGGAGACCACACACCGCACACTAACCGTCATACTGTCGGCCGACGAACTATACGGAAACCAGACAGACCACGGAGACCACACACTGCAGACAGACCGCCATTCTATCCGCCGATAAACTACGGAGACCAGCCGGACCACAGAGAACAGCCACGGGCGGACCGTCGACCAACCACCTTATCATGACATCTGACCGACCGGACACGGTCTATGACCGGCTAACAGACAACACCCATAGCCTCTATCCGACCGTTGTCCGATCACCCAAACAGGTGACTTTAAAGTGTCAGATTTCCGCGACCGATGTAGCTCGCAATTTTATGTAGTAGCACGCTCCTCAGCTGTAGACTTCAGGCTGGTGTGGTGTGCTCAAGAACGTATAAGATGCTCGGCGGTATTTCCCACAACTCCATTAACCCTCGCACGACCAGACCATTTCTCATAACACGAACGACCAGGGGGGGGGGGTTGTTACGACCCCCCCCCCTGGCGTTTCGAAACGGAAGGTCGTAGAGCTTAGCGGAAAAAACCAACGGATTGCTCTCAACGAGATCTCGCGATTGGTGGTATATTTTTTGGTCCTAGGTCAATATTTGACCTACTTTTGACCGGTCAAAGGTCAAATTTTCCGAAAAAATCAAACTTTTTCAACTTTCCGCGGCGATTGCGGCAAAACGGTGGGAGATATCGACTTGAAACCTTCACCATCGTGTTCCTTGATCAATTCTCTATCGTTTGGTATGTATTTCGTTTCCCTAGCTCTAAAAATGGCGCGTTGGGAGCGCCGGAAGTCGGCAAGGTCACAGTCGGCGGCAGAAATTCGAAAAATCAAAATTTACATTTTTGAAATCTGATTGTATTTTTGGATTTGGGAGGTCCATTTGCTCCCTATAGAAGCTAATATTGCTGCATATTCCCATTGAGGTGACAAGAATTAGCAAAATAGTGGTTCGGGCGCTTTTCAAAAATAGTACCGGACGCTGTTCCTCTTGTGACGTCATAGCTCCGTGACCTGACCTGACCCGGTCAATTTTCTTGCACCACACGATAGCCAATGCTTGCCCCAACATGCATGGGAAGTTTCATCATGATCCATCAAACAATGTGGGTATCACCGGCAGAAAACCTAGGGATTCGGCGCACACGTTTGGTAACTGTCGGCCGGAGGCTGTACCTCTTATGACGTCATAACTCCGTGACCTGACATGACCCGATCAATTTTTTTTCGGCAAAAGATGCGCAAAGGTTGCCCCAGAGGGTATTGAAAATTTCAGCCCGCTACAACAAGCCGTTTAGCGTGCACTTCGAAAAACCTCAGGGGGGGGGGTTGATACAACCCCCCCCCCCTAGGCGTTCTAGGGTTAAAAAGAATTAAATAAATTACTTCCTTTAATCACACAAGAAAGCAGATTGGCAAGGAGCTAGAAGGCGCCTTCTAAGAACTGCCGTAAATTCGCTCTGGCAAGAACACGCTTCATTTAATTTCAGCTTACATGTTCGGGATTGTTTACCCTCTCTTGTTCGACTTTTGCCCGAGGCGAAATCCTTCCAAATAGACCTTCTTTACAGGTTTCAGTTGAAAGTTGTGGCAGATGTTTCGTGTAATTTGTCTCGGAGGTCAACGCGGGAATACAGGATTTAAGCTAATGCCTAAACATATATACGCATGGCCCATTAGGAGTTATAACTTAACACAATCGATGCAAACCCCAGAATATGCTCAGTTGCCATATGGAGAAAGGTCACAAAGAAAGAGAACATATCAAGACACAGTGCATGTAGAATGTAGATCAATACATTTAAATGACAACGTGCGATTAAAGAACTATCATGAATGAAGGTGATCGGACCCGTTGGGAGCACAGATCGTCCGGCGGACGTTGGGAGCATAGGATCGTCCGGTGGAAGAAGTAAAGCCGTCTGCCCATCATCAACCTTTGAGGTATAAACACAAGCATTGCCACTGTGTTATGCGATATGTTTTTCAGTCGTGTGCTTGATTTCCCGCCACTTGTTGGTATTTGGTTTGCCATTAACTTGGGACAATCTACGTTTTACATGCTCATTGCACACTCTATGCAAACTTTCAAGAGCGACTTCGGGCTTATCTCGCCTCCACGTTGCTAGGGCCAAAGAGTAGAGTAGTTAGAGTCTGCTACGCGGCGAAAATCTCATGGCGTGTCAGGACGGTATGGACATTAAGTATGGTTGAGTGAGGGCATTGTTCCGAATCGTTACCCCCTGTCACAAGAGCTGACCATCTCCGAACAGCTGAGCGGGTGCTGCTCTTGCTCAAAGTGCTAACAGATGCAGCAGATTTACTAAACTTGTCAAGTAAGTCATCCGCATGATCGAAGTTTCTAAATATTCAAAGTATGCAGTTATGCATTTATGTAAGGCATGAGGGGTGATACATCCGGTTCGCTTCTCTCCCGAGTAAGCCAAACCAGCCGACCTGAATATAACAGTAGTAAGTGCCAAGCGTGGGTCATGGCGCTATAGCCGACCAGGTGGTGATTCGCCATCAGGAATGAGCGGTTACCAACACCCATTGCAACTCCACCAGGGCTTTCACTAGTGCCTTGAAATGGTAGATTTGTCTAGCGGTCATTTCGACTCAGCGATGACCTGCCCACGGTCACCCGTGTCGCCCGAGCGGTTACCAATGGCCAGTTTCTTCCAAGAGTGTCTCACTCAGCACTCGGGTCCGGTCGAGTGCCCGTCGCCCCCATTAGTGTGCCTCGGCATCCACTGCCCCGGGCGAGATCGCCAGTGACGCCCCCGGACGGCCCGTATCGACCCGTACACATGTGGACAGATCCGTCAGGTGGGTGTTTTGTTACGCTTCTCGGGTTAGAATTAGTGAAAGGCGGGAGTAGAAGCCAGAAGAGTTTGAGATGGATCGAGGTCAGGTGTCAATGAAACGCCGGTAATGCGTCACATAACTCGTCACATTTAGTTCGTGCTGTGCGTCACACAAACTTATCACTGTCACGACAATAATATTGCTGTACCTAGCAGAAATTAGGAAACTAACAACTCAGTTGTTCAACACGGCAGCTGAGGGTTAATACGAGCACTCGTGTGCAATGTGCATGGTCATTGGTCATGTGACGACGTTCATGTGCTGCGGCAGTCTGGTCGACTTTAGGGGTCGACTTGCCACCTAACCCGCTGGTGAACCGGTGCCGTTGCCACGTGATCCGACTTTGCTGTCAAAGTCCCAGCGCTGGTGCCGTATATATCCAGCCACCGCTGCCGCTTGTTCCACCTCTACTGCCAAATTCCCAGCGCTGGTGCCGTATATGTCCCAGCGCTACCGTCGTACGTTCGAGCGCCGCTGCCCTGCCAATACCCGTGCGCCGCTGCCGCGTGTCCCAGCACTGCTACCAATGTTCGGCCGCTGGGGCCGTATGTTCGAACGCCCGCCGGTGGCCGTAAATCGGCGGCACAATGCCGCTCGCTCGCCGATCGGTGTGGGCTTTGTCGGTGGAGAGCGGCCCGGCCATTCTGCAGCCCGCGGTGGGCACCTCGGCGGAGCGGTCGGCGGGCAGGACCGGCCGGCCCGGACCGCAGAGGGACCTTCAGGGCCGGGCAGAGGTCAGGCAACGGTGGGCGGCCTGACCTATAGGTGGGCTGAGGTTTCACAAGAGCAATTCTACAGACGAAACGGTTTTCGAAACGAATAAATGCATCAGTGCTGGCCAGTATGGCTGACCTCAACATTTGATCACATATAATTTTGCACCGATATGCGAGATCCAAAATTTATTTTTGTTTATATTCAAATTCCAGTAAAAAATCTATTGAACGGGCAGCACATTCAAAAGGTACAATGCATTAGATACATTATGCACTGGTGCATAATCTTAACATAAAATGCGGTCAATTAGTGTACAAAACAACAGTCAATTACTGTTTCCTACCATCACAAAAAGTATGCTCGTTATTGAGGAATAACGCTTACGAAAACAGTAAAACGAACCAAAGTAGGTATGTATTGGTGCCGTCTGGTACAAACAATTCGTTCTCAGGAAACCAAACATTTCCTCGTTTCACGCGGCACCACTGTAGTACATCCACGTCAAAAGCCTGCGTTCCATTAAATAACCATGATGTGATGAATCATTCCTGTCCCCGCCTTTCGCTCCGAACTATCTCCAGCACCGCAAGTGGAATCTCTGTTTCGATTCCGTCCCGCCTGCGAGATGTCCCCCGACTCAGTTCACTGTGCTCGGTGCTTCATCTTGGGCGACAGTAACATCCATCGAGTGAATCGAGTATCACGACTCGGGCACCTGGTCGAAGGGTATTCTCAGCCAACAAAGCTAACCTTCCATCGTCCAACCTGAATGCCGAAGGTGGGCGCAAAGACCTCTTCAGCGCGATACACAAAAACAAACAAGAGTCGGGTAGAAGAGGACCATTGCCCTGAAATAGCGGCAGCACGGAACGTTCAGCCCTCCAACCTTACAGCGAGTCACCATCACACCATAGTCAACATCGGTCGGGCCGACCCAGTGACGTCAGAGATCAGCTGACCGCAGTGACCAGTGACGTCAGAGCTCAGCTGACCCGGGCCGACAACATGGCCAGGTGTCGGCTGAACGCGTCCCGTTTCAGGGCCTGCCGCGCTGCTGTCTCCGAGAGCGCTTCAGTTTCAGTCACCTCGCACAGCAGCCGCCTACAAAAAGAGATAAAACACGACGGTTATTTCAGATGGGATTGAGCGCAAAGTATCCTCAAATATATAATCAAAGACAGGGCAGTGACATATTCTACGCAAGAGGAAATCACACTGGTGGAAAAGGGGGATAATTACTTCACGAAGAACTTCAAACAAGAAGAACTATTCGCGGATTTGTTATGTATCTCAAATAGAAATTCAAAATACTCCAGAAACGGTTGAAACAGAGTCCATGGTTGCTTGGCTACGTTTTGAACATTTTCAGTGATACAATTGTCCTCCAAGGTGTGGCATTGTCTTTACAACCGATCGCATGATCCATTGAACACTTCATAGCCGAAGTTTGCATCTTAGACTGTTAACCCGCGCCCCGTAGGGCTACCGGCGGACCCTACCACCCGTAGGGGGGGGGGGCGTTTCGGCCCCCCCCCTAAGATCTCGGAAAGTTACCGGCCGATTTTCAAAATTCAAACGGCGTTCGATAGCCCCACCCGGGAACTACCTTGTGACCAAAATTCATTGACCTAGGTCAAACCGATGACGTCACAGGTCAGGTCAAAGGTCAGATTTTCACCGTTCACAGGCAATTCAAGAAATGTGCTGTGAAAGCGAGTAAATTGGTAATTTATTGAAAACCATCGATGGTACATTGTTCGTCAAACACATACTTTGCTATCTGAGGTCACTGATACCAGGTCAGGTCACAGCGAGGTCAGGTCACCGGGGGTCACAATATGAATGTGTCGTGTGATACATGTTTTATGGTCCATTTTACATGACAAATGCGATTATGTGGGTTAGGCAGCCTTTGGGGCCAGCCTAGGTCACGTTTTGGTGAAGGTCAGGTCAAGATCAGGTCAAATTAGGTCAAATTTCAAAGTTGATATTTTTGCATAAAATGGGTATCGATTCGATGCAGCTCGTCACGGGGAGTCTAATGGTGGTCTTCGTTTTGCTCTACGAGTTCTAGAATTGCCAAAAATTGAGTTTGAAAATTTGACGTCATCATTTTTGAACAGTTTTTTCCCTATAACTTGGCCAAAAAACGAGGTATCGATCTGAAATTTGGTATGTAGATAGAAGACGGTAGGCACTATCACATATATTCCGGTTTTTTTCGAAACTCAAAAAACTTTTTGGTTTTTTTGGCGAATATATCCAAAAAAATGCTTTTTTGATTTTTGGGGGTCAAAACTCAAAAATTTTAAAAATTCGAGATAGCAGTTTTGTAGCCCTGTCAATTCTACACCTTTTATGTCTTGATCATTTTTCTGTATCTTCAAAGCTGTAGTCATGACAGGTCTTCTCGCGAAGGTCTTTTTTCGGTCGAAAATGACAGAACATGACGTCACTCTGACGTCATTTGTGGCCAACCTATCATAGCTTCTGGTAAAATTTTTGGTCACAATGTGTAAAGTTGATGCCCGGAGGGTTCCTGAAAGTTTGGTGGCGATATCTCCAGCCGTTTAGGAGATATCGACCGAAAAGGACAGGGGGGGGGCCGTTTCGGCCCCCCCTACGGGGCGCGGGTTAAGTGTTAAGTGTTCAGTACGTAGGTGATACGACGCGACCCGTGCCAAACGACCGCCACCAGCATGTGTCGCATTGGTTGTGCCGATTGATTGCGATGGATGATACTGATTGATGGATGCGATAGAAGATATGGCGCGCTGCGCTCGGCGACGGCGCTATCTGACGCAGAAAGCACGTGACCTTACGTATACGTAACCACGAACAATACCAGTTTAAGGTTCCGTCTTCGACGAAAGAGCAGCACTACGGGATGCTCGAGCACCTAAATTAAATACCGAACGCCCGCACGAGTGAACACGCAGTTACTTTTTTAAACACAAAATGTCAGCACGTGGCGTCGCAACGCCGACCAACATTCCAACAGCACCCTGCGAGATTCAGCACCCAGCCTGCAAAGTCCAGCACCCGATCTGCAAGGTCCCGGCACCCGACCCACTGGATACCGGCACCCGACCTGCAAGGTACAGCACCCGAATGGCAAGGAAAAGCGCTCATCCTGCTGCAAGCTCCACCAACTTCCAGAGCCGCCATACGTCTACCGCTGTAGTCGTAGGTCCTGCTCCCGCGGCCCGGCCGCTCGGCGGTTCCCCGTTTCTTCTGGCAGCCACCAGAGGATGCCAATCAGCGGCTCCACCGTGACATTGAGTGGCTGGAAAAAACGACGGCCAGCCGAAAGCAAAACGACTTACAGCCGACAACAGAACGACTTCTAGTCGACAACCTCACAACAGCTTTGCACCTACGTCAAAGCAAAACAAATCCAAGCCGCCAAAACAAAGTCGCTGTGACCCAGCGAGAGACCGAGGTCTGTCAGCCAGCAAGGACAGAAGTTCATGGACTTCAGAATATCGCGAATTAAAATCATAACACTCCACCCCGGAGTTTTCCGTCACAGATCGAGTGACCACCGTTCTACTCCCGCTAGTGGACAGTCCAACGGCCTAAGAGCACAACGCAATTATAAATAGCCGAGGGGTGGTGGAAATATACAGCCTGCCGACAAATATGCATTGCTAGCGTCATTGGTCACACTTGTGTTGCTGATTCAATGTCTTTCAACCTACAGCATGGCAATGAAGCGGTCGATTACGCAACACCAGAACTCATAAGTTCCAGGATATGACAGATCCATCACCATCATTACTACATCGTATCAACCAGTCAGTCTTAAGTGGCTCAGCCGAGTCGCGACAGATCATCAGCCAGCCCACGCAACTCACAATCGACCAACTTACGCAGTTCGCCAGCGACCAGCTCCCACAACTCACGCGCGATGCCACGTGACGCGCCAATCAGCTAATTGATGGTCGCGAGTTCGACTCCCACCAGGGCCGGTCATTTCAGCCCCACGGTCATTCCAGATCGGTGCGCAGGCGGGGGCCGCCGGACGGCAGTAAACCTGGCCGGGACGTTCGACGACGGACGGCGCGCGTGGCCCCGTCCGTTACTGACTGGTCTGGTCACGGAGGTGAACAGCGGACCCGGTGCCTGCATTATCAGCCAGACTACCAACCAGCCCCACCGTCTGGCAGTGAGTCAGCGATGATTGGGTGTCCAATGCCTCCGCCGCCGGAGGGAAGGAGGTCAAACACGCAGCTGATTACCTCTTTAAGTGGTCACGGAGATGGTCTATCCGCCGTGCCGCACGGACAGGTAAAGGGGCCACATGAAAGCGTCCGCCAAGAGGGAGGGCAAATGGGAATGGATGCGGCAGTTCGAGTGGAAGACAGAACCGGCGGCGACCGTCAGTCGTGACAGCTCTGTCAAACAACCAATCAGAGGCCGGTGAGGCGGACCTAACAGCCAATCCGACCGCTCCATCCCGAGGCGGCGGCGCCGGGGGTAGATCTCACCCCTGACTGAGTAGTGATGCGGAGGTTAGGGCTCCTGCTAGTGCACTGGGCCGGGGTCAGCCCCGTCCTGGCGGCCACGGTCGCGCCGACCACGGTCGCACACGCGGCGGTCGGTCGATGGCCGGCACCGCCGTCGCTCCGTGATTGCCGGCCTGTAATCCGAGCTCAGCGGCTGCTCGGCCGCTGGGCCGCAGGCCGGCTGTGACGTCACACACACACACAGGCCGTATGACGTCACCCGTGCACACACAAACACACGGGCTGTCCGCTCACACATTGATAGAGACTGTATCGGCGCTGGGCTGTTTGGTCAACGCCATCGGCCGTCCATACTCGCTCCGCCCGGCCGGCCGCCGGTGCCGCGTCCGACGGGCACGGCACGAGCCCGGAGCGAGGGGAGAGGCGTACCCATCCGCCGGCGGGCATCAAACAGCGGGCTCAAGGCTGGACAAATTGTTCAAAGTGAAACACCCGACACCGCTGTAAGTTGATCTTGTAGCATGCAACTCCTTTTTCAGAAGAAAGGAGCAAAACGTGACTGGAAACGTGTGTCAATGGCCTGAAATAAGTACCAGTAAAACGACTTTTGGGCGACCAACGGAGCGAGCGAGAGGATGGGCCTTGCACGTGCGAAATTGCGAGGGGGTACCTCCAACTAACTTGTGCACTGCACCCTACTAGCCGGTCTTTAGCGATGTGCCAAATTTCAGCGCAATCGGCCTAGCCGTTCTCGAGATCTGGAAGCGGCACACTGCACGTGTGCACGTGCAAGCGGGGTCCAAACTGACTTTTGCACGGCACCCTACTAACTGGTCCCCAACCGTGTACCAACTTTGAGCGCAATCGGCCCAGCTGTTCTAGAGATCTGGGAGCGCCCCCTGCACGTGCGCACGTGCTGTAGCACCCCAACCTTAACACATGCAGATGAATTATCTGATGGAGACCTAACTGTGTACCGAGTTTCAATTCAATCGGCCCAACCGTTGTGCCGTTATTGAGGTTGCAATTTTGGGGGTTCTTAAAAAATGTCCAACTTTACCACGCGCCACGTGCGGTGGTTGGCAAGAACGCATGGTGGCCATCACACCACAGAACTTTTACGTCCAAGTGACATTCAGTAAAGAAGACCGCTTGTCAATCGGATGTCCCGTTCCTAAGATATTAGCTTTTGAAGAGGGTCCCCACGGCCAGCCGCTCATACTCAGGATTTTCCCTTAATTCAGTATGAGACTCCGTTCGCTTCGCTCGCTCCGTAACTACTACACCGATGCCCGTTTACGGTGAAAACTTTGAGCAGCCACAAGTGACGTCAGAGCTAACACACCACCCACCGCGACCGCGCCTGTCACGCGTGCCTTCGGAGGGGCTAGGCAGAGCAGTCCTGCGTGCCGCTCTGCATCACTAACTCAGCCTACCTATCACGGCATCATCCGCCAGCATAAATACAAATTGCATCACCAAAGACAAAACACAGAAAACAGCTGGCGCTCCTTTTGTACCCAACGATGCACGCATTCAGGTTGCACGAAATGCTCGCTTAACCATAACGCTTCGCTCAAACCAGGATGAAGTTCTATTCAAATCGACCAGGTAGCCGTTGTTTCAGCAGCGCACATTTCAGCCCAGCCTCCAGCCACGTCAGTCAAACCTTGAAACATCCCCACACCCGCAACTGGCTGCGTCGGCGACGGATGACGCCCCGTCAGCCTGTCATCTCAGGGTGACAGTGACGAGCGGGCCGCGACACTTTCATCAAACGCCGCCGACGAATGGCCGCCCGGACGGGCCATTTCGACGGCGCGACCGGGGCGGTTGCGGCGCGGCTGGGACGACTGCGGCGCGCCTGAGACGATCGTGGCGCTGATCAGCGCCGGGCCGATGGCCGGGTTTGTGACGGTGCTGCCGAGTGATGGCACCCGTCGGAACGGTTCCGGGGATGTTTGTCACCGTGGCCGCGGGGGCGGCGGGAGCGGTCAGTGGCGTGACTGCCGCAAAACTGGATGAGGGAGGAGTCGGATGGAGAGGATTAACCCTAGCCTTCCCAGGTGGAAAGTTTCGGTGATGAAGTTCCCGACTGTTATATTCTTCCAGGACCGTTGGATGCTACCAACTGGGGAAAACTGCTATTAAAAACCACGAGTCGAGTGATGCTGATTCAATTTAATGAAGCTCGAATGTTTCGACTGAGTGGAGGCCAGAGCCCGCACTTCTAAGGGCTCGTTATGCACGTTTGAGATCAACAATCCGATCGCAAATTCCGTGTAAACAACATAATTCAGTATCGAGCAATTCGCAAACATCATATGCGGGATTCAACCTTCCTCGATAGCAGATTTGCTATGGCCTGTAGTTTGAGTAATGCCACTTAATCGCAGTTAATACCAATCAGAAAGTAACCGTTCAATGTTCATAACCTGGCTCCCGGCCGCCTCAACAATCTATTTCCTTCTGAGATATTTCGATGCTCAGGGGGGCAGCGTTACGACTATTTACGACAGCAAACATTAGACATTCGACTTAATCGGCGCGGAGAAATACAAGCCTTCCGAACGATTCTTTGTTCTAAAAATGTAAACGGAGCTGTTGTGTTCCTCAAAAACCGACGCTGTCCACCGCTGTCGGTCGGCTGTTCACTTGTGAGACGCACAGTCACCGAAATGACGTCTCCATAAGTATACCATACTAAGTCGAGGTCACGGACAACGAGACAACTTCCGCCTTGCTGAACAACCGCAAATCACAGCGTCCCGGTCAATATCCCGCCTCCCCCACGTGCCGCGCTCACGGACCGGGGCGGGGCGGGGCGGCATATCCGTGTCAGATGACCAGACCGCTCCGATTGGGCCCGTTTGGCCGCGGCGGCCGCTAATGGTAATCGGACACCGGCACACGGGTGTGGAGAGGTAGACCGACACGTCGACGCCGACACTGTGCCGCAGCGCTACCGGGCCCTCGCACCGGTAGCGGTAGGAATATACTCACAAATTCGCTGAGGACGAAGATGTTTCGTAGAACGTCTGGCGCAAAGCGTTTTCTTCCTAAGTGGACCAAGTGTAAGTATGAGTCTCTCACAGTGCCATCGATCCTACAGAGGTGCCGAGGAGTGTGAACGAGTGTACAGGTGAGTGTGCGCCCGTCCACCGATAGTGCGTTCTTCCTCCCAGCGGAAAATTATTGACTCAATGGCACCAACACCATTAGTGAGTCGCCTTCGAGCACCGGCTTCCGGCTGAAAAGAGAGAACCTAACTAGCCTCCACCGTTCGCGGAACAGCCAATGCGTGTGCCACAGTGTTTGCGCTCAGTCACCTGCCGGTAAACAGGTGCGGGGAGCCATTCCGGCTACCGCCCGTCGTGTCAAAGCCGGGTATCTATCAGCAGGGCGTCGGCTCATCATCAGAGTCACCAGCGAGGTGCCGGCTCCTGCGGCGACCTCCAATCACCACAGCATGCGGCAGCACGACGGAACACACTGAACAGAAGCCGGCGACACCAAATAATGAGGCCGGCAGAGTCCGAGGAAGCTGCTCAGAGCCGGCCGCAGCCGAGGCAGATGACACGCGGCGGCCGCTAATGAATGGCGACAGGCGAAAAAAGAAGCGGCCGCGCGCACAGCGCACGCCGCGCCGCGGCGCGGCTCCGCGTGCACAAACGAGAGTAGGGCAGAAATAGCGGCCCTTATCGCGGCGCAGTACCGATTTCCGGAAACATTGGTGGCTGTATGTCAGTGCGGGGAGTGGGGATTATTCAGCAGATCAGGCGACAGAGATTCAAACCATGGTCAACTGGGAGCTAATGAGGACGAGTCACGGACACCTAGAGCATGGACATTGGACATTCATGCCACGAGTTCCATAACGATAGTTCAGGAAAAGCGAATGGGAAATTCATGTCTTTTTAGACCACCCCACGGCCGCAGTCATAGCAGAGGCCTCTTGCACCACACTACCTAGCTAGGTAAAATCGAAAAACCGGTTTCAGAATAAGCTAATTTAACGGTGGTAAAATTGTTTGCAATAGCCCAATACATAATCCTACATGTGCTTGCTATTTTTTGCGCGCAAATTGTTACATTTGAGACTTGGACTGGGTACACGATGCAAAATAATCCAAGCATTGGTGCAAGAGGATTTTGGTGCAAGAGGCCTCAGATGTACGACAGCGATTTTTCCTATCCCTTACAAACACAAAAACTACCGTAGGAGGCACAAGACATCCACTCTAGGAAAAAAAACTAATTTAAGTCGCACACGAACTTCACGACTCTCCTGACTTTTAACGAACACTTATTCACATGCGCTGTGCGAACCAACTTAAAACAACTATGCATCCGACTGGCGAGCTAAAAAGCAATCGCCCTGACGTAACGAAAGCTGGACGAATAACAATGCCGAGTTAAGTTTAGTAGAAAACAAAACCCAAAGCACTAACAAACTGCAGATAATCCACCTAAATGAAATACAGCGGAACATTCGGGAGTTGTCATCCGTCAGTAATAATTCGACGCATTGAGTAGCGAGTGGAACTCAATGTAACCCTGGCATGAAAGAATGTCCCCCAAAATAATAAGGCAGCGCCGACCCAGCTTCACCACTGTGTTCACCGCAAACCTAGCCACCAACATTTACAGATACAACACAGATGACACGCCTATCCCGCCGTGGCCGACAATCTCTCTCCCGTTCCCCCGTCTCCCTGACTAACCTGAGCGCCAGGTATGCCCGCGCGTTGAGAGCCCACCGTTACGGTCCCGGGTAGACTCAAGACTGTCCCCATACCCTGACTGACCTGAGCGCCAGATCGGTGCGTGCACTGAGTGCCCGCCGGTACGGTCCAGGGTCTCCGATGGCCTCTTCCGTGCGCTGTCGGTACTGTCGGCGACACTGCTCCACGTCCGGAACAGGCTCCTGCAGCGACTCGCCAGCGGCTGCCGGAGAAGGAGACGGTCAGAGTGGTCACAGCGGTTACAGGGGATCAGAGGGGTCACAGATCGGTTACAGGAATCAACGCGGTCACAAGGGTCAGGGCGATCACAGGAGGAAGGAGTCAGAGAGGGTCAGTCTGATCCCAGAGGTCAGAGCGGTCGCTGAGGTAACAGAGGTTAGAGTGGGTTACAGCGGTCACTGGGAGCACAGAGGACAAGGCAGGTCATAGGTCAGAGCGGTCATACGGTTACAGAGCCAAAACGGGGTCAGATCGGTCATGTTGGTCAAAGCGGGTAACATGAGTTCCAGTAAATACCAGAGTTGAATATAGATCACGGGTCACTATCGATCGCAGACGTTAGGGCTGCAGGAGAGCACAGGTCAGCACAGTTCACACTACAAATTCAGGGGCCACGAGAAACACAGTACGGTTAACAACCGTCCACCAGTGACTACAAGCGAGGACAGGCAATATTGAAGACAATTAGACGTCCCCAATGGAAGAGGGACGTGATATTACGCTCCATCACCCTACCAAGATCGATAACATACAGCACGTGTAAGCACACATAGCAGTTTCCTTTCCAATCCAATCTTGTCGGTCGTATCTCATCGAACCGTCCGTATCCACCTCGCAGCTACACACACCAGTACACCTGTACACCTGTGCATTATGTAACACCGATAGACTGAATCAAAGGCACGACTAAGCGGCTGTCACAGTGCCGGCCAGCTCAGTTTGAGTCCGTGAGTTCACGTGTGGCTCTCGCGATGGTCGGGGAGGAATGCAATTCATTTTTACCCGGTACGATGGGTGAGGGAAGGGGGGAGGCGCCCTGTTGAGTTCATCTAGAGTCAGTTTGACGGTTAGCTAATGGTGGAGGGGTTAATCTGGAGCCGATCCTATGGCCTGAATGAGGGATCCCGCTCTGGCGAGTTCCTTGTAGACGGTCCGATGGACTGCGGAGGAGACACCCGCCGGTGAGTTCATCAGGAGCCGGTCGAAGAGCCGGGCGAGGGAGGGTGAAGCAGAGCTTCTCTCGGCTGTTTGCTCGTCCCGCCGGGCACAGAACGCTGATTAATTGTCAACAGCAGTAATGGCAAGCCGGGCCAGCGTTCATCGATGGACTGCACACAGTCAATGGGCCCGTAATGGGGCCTTAGTTAATCTGTGAAATGAATAGACTGACGGCGAGCCGGAGCACACGGGCTAATCGCCAACGGCAAATGGGCAGCGAGTTGCAGCCGTGGCAAGTCGCTCACAAATGTACCAATAGCCGATTACTATAACCCCTCGTGAAAGACGATACCCGAAGATGAAAACCACGCCTTCCATTCACATCGCAATTCACCATCTCCTTTCGCCCAGTTCGGTAACAAAGTTCAACACTATAGCGAATGAGCAAAACACCTCAACACAGAGGCGTACCGCCGGATCAACCGTCCAAAATCGAAGTCCAACACCGGCTGGAATTTGAGACAAAACTCTGTAAAACACAGCATAGAAGCTGTGGCGACCATGACAAAGCAAGCTTTGTAACCACCATTCAATATCTCCAATTTCTAAGCATATATTACATACAGAAGGTATATTATTATCTCCAGACCATATGCATACCATACTTCAGGTCAAACGTTCGTGACGTTGGTTTCAGATACAGGGTGGGGCAGAAAGATTTACCTGTTTGTTTTCAGTCCATTACTTAAAAAGTTATGAACGGATTTTGATAAAATTTTGCATGCAGCTTCCCAACTGACTCATGTATCAACTTTAAGATCGTTTTACATTTTGTAATAGTTGTTGGTGAGCTATGGCGAAGATGACTAAGTGAGCCCAAATTGCGGCGCTGAAGTAGACTGGTCACAGCTCCCGAAGCGTTGCCAAACAGCTCGGTGTTGCCGTAAAAACTGTTTGCAGTATAATTAAATGACTTAAAAAGACAGTGTTAGTGTCGTCGAAGTACACGCCACGCAAAACAAGGGATTTCCGCTTCAAAAAGCTAGTTGATATCGTGCACAAGAAGGTGTTTCAATTCCTAGGCGAAGCATGCGCAAACTGCCAAGGGAACTCGTTGTTTAGCCCAGAACCGCCAAGAGAATCATAAACGACGGCTTAGGCTTTATGTCATACAGGATGCAACGTCGACACCTAATTTCGGCGGCATCCAGGGAAAACAGGCTATACAGGATCCAAAAGACATTGGAGGAGATCAGGAGCGCCGGTAACAAGGCATTCTGCTGGTCCAATGACAACATGTTCATGCCTGAGCCCCAGAGACACTCCTAAAGCGTCAACATTTTAGCAGATGGTCCATCCAGCATTGATCCTGCTATTTGCACCATTTTTTGTTGCTTGAAGCCTGCTGGTGTCATGGTTTGGGTTACCGTCGTATCCGACGGCTCAAAAGGAGTCTTGGTCTTCATCAAGGAGGCTGTGAAAGTGAATTCAGAGGTTCAAGTCCATCTGCTGGAGGAACATGCTTTGTCTTGGGTCACTCAGTCGTTCTGAGACGGATACGTCTTCGTCCAGGACGGTGCGCCGCCGCTAACGGCCAACATCACTCAACCATGGTGGAAGACCCACATGCCTGGGTTCTGGGACAAAGACATTCGGCCATCATCAAGTCCAGACCTGAACCCGATGGACTTCGCAATCTGGGCCATCTTAGAGAGGTGGGTGTGTGCAGTTGCCACACAGCAGAATCGCCGCCCTGAAGCTGGCCCTCGAGACGGCACCGTCGAATCTTGGCGGGGACACAGTGCGGCGCTCGTGCCCCTCCGCAGAGGGATGTTTCGAAGCAGTGGTGAAATACAAAGGTGACCATATTGAGTCATTATGCCGTCGCTGAGATGTGTACATGTTACTGCATATATGTGCCAGAAATCAATTTGATATCTTTGGTCGGGGCCGAAATATTTAAGAAAATCAAGAGGTAAATCTTTCTGCCCCACCCTGTACAATCACACGTCAGGCAAACTCAGAAAGGTTTAGCGCGGTCGCGGGTGCGCTTAAAGAGCCGCTTAGGAGATCAGGAACGGTTCGTCGGGTCAGGAAAGAATGACATGGGACAGAGGGGACGGGCACAAAAAGAGGGGAGGGCAGAGGCAGAGGAGGAGACTCCCGGGTGCGGACGTGGCATTCTCATTTATTCGCGCAGCGACAGAGCACACGATAAGGGTCGCGGCGGTTCTTACAGAGGCCCGACATACAGGAGGCTTTGTCGTTGTCCGTTGCCACGGTGGATCCGTATTGGTTTCGATATGGTCGCTAGGTGAGCACCAGTTACCGATCACTTTAAACCCTGGTCGGGCGGCACACCGGTGGCTGCTGATAGTGCTGATCAAAGGCAGGTGGATCGGCAGACTAGAGAAGTAAATATGACGTCCGCCGCTGAACGCAAAAACAGTCAGTCCCCGCACATAGCCACAGGCTCCCAGGGGCCACCGCAGTCCCCTGACAACACACTCTGCTTAGCGTGATATACCGGCGAAACTGATAGCTGGCGAGAAGGCCACAGCACAGAGAAAAACAATAGAAAACAGGTATGACAGCCCGCTGAACATCTGAAATTGCTCGCCAGCACGATCATTGAAAATAATAAGCAATGGCTATTTGGTTGCCGAGTGAAAAAGAAAGATGAAAGACGTAAACGTACGATAAAAACAAAATTTTCGACGAAGTTTCGGCGTTGGGAAAAGCTCTGAGGAGGTGAGCGAGAGGATGGGACTGCTTAGCTATATAAACTTAATAGTGTGCGTGTCAGCTCCACGCACAGTCTCAATCGTTTTATCATCGATAAGAGAGAATTCGGTACCTCAACAGCCGGTTCGTTCAAGCGATGTCACCGCAAGCCGTCAGCGCTACTCGGCATCTCCGAAAAGAGGGCCCAGTGATTGGAAGTTCTAGGAACACATGCCGAAAGTCTTCGTATGGCTTGGTTCAACAATCAACGTTGTTTTGAGCATTGCTAATAAAATGTGGGAAACATTGACCCAATACTTAAAAAAGTCCAACCAATCGAAATCGGCGGGCTTTTAATGGTTAGGATACTTGACAGCCTTAGGAGGGCACAAAAGTCTCATTCGTTTTGTCTGAAAGATGAAGAATTTAGGGTAAGATAAGCACAGAATAAAAAATGAATGCTCATTGCTCAATAAACAATGACACAACACACACATTTTGACACGACAAAGGATGCCCGAAAACACATTTTGTGGTTGAACTTGGTGTCTTCATCTTATTGAATCATTGGAATATCTTTTCATTTTTTAATGAAAAGACTCGATAAAAAAGAACAAATTATTAACCCTGGCCCTGGCAGGGGGGGGGGGGGGGGCGGGGGTGAATGCTGATATTTTATTGCGATGGGCGCCGAACCATTAGTCGGATCGTGCTGAAATTTCCAATAGCCTATGGGGCATCCCTTACGGAACTTTGGGTAAAAAATATTTTCGGGTCAGGTCAGGTCACCGAGCTATGACGTCATAATAGGTAGAAGCTCCGACCATTTTTGACAAAATCGTACATTCCGCGTAACTGGACGTGATCTCATCGACAAAACGAAACTATTCCGTGTGATTTATGTCAGATTTTGACAGGACATCAATATTTACATTATATATTGACCTTTCTAAGGTCAACCAAGGTCAGTGGCCTCGCATGTTCACACGATGATCTTTGTGATATGAGCTGTGTTTAGTGGGATTCCTTGAGGTCCTGAATCCGGATCTGTGGTTATTTTTCATCTAAACGCCTTCAAAACTGTTCCTTGACCTTTACAAGGTCAATCCAGGTCAATTAGGTCCGTCCTCGCCGTCGGCGAGTGTGAGTGTAACCTCCCGTGTTCCCGGTGATAACGTCACGCCCGTAATGACTGAAATGCGGTCAACTATACATCATTTTGTTGCTAATTCGTTGAGAAACACGGTCGTGAGAGATTCATGTCGCTATCTTTCATAGATTCGCCAATTTTGGCTGAGTAACTTGAAAAATTATAGCTTT